CTTTACAGGCTGAACAAGCATTTATTGCCCTTGAGAAGAAGATGGTGAATGATCTTGCTTAAAAAGTTATCTTGTAAATGATTTGGATGTAGGAGTGGAAGGGTGGATTAGTAAGTTCGCGGACGATACGAAGGTAGGTCAAGTTGTGGATAGTGCGGAAGGCTGTTCTAAGTTACAAAGGGACATTGATAGGATGCAGAGCTGGGCTGAGAAGTGGCAGTTGGAGTTTAATCCTGAAAAGTGTGAGGTGATTAATTTTGGAAGGACAAATTTGAAAGCAGAATGCAGGGTTAACGGAAAGATTCTTGGCAGTGTGGAGGAGCAGAGGGATCTCGGGGTTCATGTCCACAGTTCCCTGAAAGCTGCCACCCACGTGGATAGAGTTGTTAAGAAGGCATATGGTGTGTTAGCTTTCATTAACAGAGGGACTGAATTCAAGAGCCGTGAAGTTATGCTCCAGCTATACAAAACCCTGGTTCGGCCACATCTGGAGTATTGTGTCCAGTTCTGGTCACCTTATTACAGGAAAGATGTGGAAGCGTTGGAAAAGGTGCAGAGGAGATTTACCAGGATGTTGCCTGGAATGAAGGGAAGGTCTTTTGAGGAAAGGTTGAGAGGGCTAGGGCTTTTCTCTTTAGAACGACGAAGGATGAGTGGTGACTTGATAGAGGTGTACAAGATGATCAGACATATAGATAGAGTGGACAGCCAGAGACTTCTTTCCTAGGGTGGAGGTAGCTATTACGAGGGGGCATAGTTTTAAAGTGAGTGGTGGTAGATGTCAGAGGTAGGGAGTGGTACGGGCGTGGAATGCACTGCTGGAGAGGGTAGTGGAGTTGGCCTTATTAGGGGCATTTAAGCAGCTATTAGATAGGCATATGGGTGATAGTATAAGGTAGGGGTGGAGGTTAGATAGACCTTAGGTTTAGGGTAAAAGTTCGGCAGAACATCATGGGCCGAAGGGCCTGTACTGTGCTGTACTGTTCTATGTTCTAAAACTGTACAGTCCATTTGGTTAGACTCAGACTCAGACTCATAATGGCGTAAGAAAGAAAAAATTTTGAGCTCAGCAGCAATGTAGGACTGGCAACATATGGCCAAGTTCAGGACAGTGAGCGGCTTGGAGAGGAGCTTACAGATGTTGGTCTTCCCATGTATCTACTATCGTTGCCCTTCTAGATATGGTAGTGATCATGTATTTGGATGATGCTGCCTAAGAAGCCTTGGTGAATTTCTGCAGTCATCGATAGTGCACACGGCTACTACTGAGTGTGGGTGGCAGAGGGAATAATGTTTGTTGATGTGGTGCTAGTCACGCAGGCTGCTTTCTCCTGGGTGGTGTCATGTTTCTTGAGTATTGTTGGAGTTGCACTACCCAGGCGAGTGGGGAATATTCTACCACAATCTTGACTTAAAACCATAGAGTAATACAGCATGGAAACACTCCCTCTGGTCCAATCCGTCCATGCCGATCAGACGTCCCGATCTGAACTAGTCCCATTTGCCAGCATTTGGCCTATGTCCCTCTAAACCCTTCCTATACATATGTCCATCTTTTAAATGTTTTAATTTTACCTGCCTCTACCGCTTCTTATGGCAGCTCAGAGAGTCACTTGTGCCTTATAGAAGGTGGGCAGGTTTTGGGGAATCAGGTGGTGAGTTATTTGCTGTGGACTCCTAACCTCTGATCTCTTGTGGCCACAGTATTTATATAGCTACTCCAGCTCAGTTTCTGGTCAATGGTAACCCCCGGGAAGTTGATAGTGGGGGATTCAGTGATGGCAATGCCATTGAATGTCATGGGGTGATAGTTCAATTCTCTGTTCTTGGAGATGGGCATTATCTGGCATTTGTATGGTGCAAATATTACTTGTCACTTGCCAGCCCATTCCTGGATATTGTCCAGGTTTTGTTGTATTTGGACATGTACTACATCAGTAGCTGAGAAGTTGTGAATAGTACTGAACATTGTGCAATCATCAGTGAACATTCCCACTCTGACCTTATGGATGGAAGGTCACTGAAGCAACTTGAGCTTAGGACACTATCCTGAGGAGCTCCTGCAGTGATGTCCTGGAGCTGAGATAACTAACCTCCAAAAATCACAACTGCTGCCTTTTGTGCTAGGTATGACTCCATCAGGAGAAAGAAGATCGATATTTTTACTTTGGGAATAAAAGGCTAATCATTACACTGAAGTTCATGGTTTCAAATGATTATTTTAACAAATAAACATCCTAATGCTTTAAATAAACCAGTTTGAGAGCTTTAGCTACACCATTGGTTGTAAATAATAGCCTGTGATTTGAGGAACTGGTTTATGCTTATGAACATAGTTGATCCTAGCAACTATATTCAAAGAAAAGCATGCTGAATATGCAATTAAAAGATATTCTTTAATCAAAAGAATCACTAGCACATGTTAAATGAAATTCATATTGGTTTGTTTTAAAGATTATTTTGCTGACAAAGTCATTGTCAGAATATCTGATAATTCAAAGTTAGTTCAATTTTAATTGATTCTCTTTTTCCACTGATACGTGAATTCAATGCATGCATTTTATTTCATATATATGCAAATTATGCCTTCTACCAGAGATACTAGGCAATTTGCCAAGTATTGGGTTTAGAAATGCTGAATTTTCATCTTGCATCTCCCATATATTGGCTCTTTTTTAAAAAAGAGCTCTTTGAGTTTTACAAAACGTGCTGATTCCTAGTTAAATGCTTAACTCTGGAATTCATTCCCAAAACTTCGGTTTCTCCAACTAATCTTCACGTTCATTGAAATCTGCCTCTTTATCTGAGTTTTTAGCCACCTGTCCTAATGGCCCCTTCTTTGGCTCGCTATCAATTTTTGTCTGATTATGCTTCTGCCAAGAGCCATGAGGATATTTTAAAACTTGTAATTATCAATGTGTATGTGTATTTATGCTTTGTACACTTGTAACCTTTGTTAATCAAGGTAGAGTGCTAAAGGAAGAAAATTATTCTAAGCCGCTTGGATCCCAGTTGCAGTATGGTGATCTATTTTGTGTGCCGCATTTTAGGAATGACATGAAGGACTAGTAGCTGGTGCAAGGCCAATTGAGTAGAATGGCATCAAGGATGAAATGCATTTATGTGGAGAAGCTGAGGTTATTCCCCTCCAAGTAAACTTAAGAAATAGAGCAGGAGTATGCCATGTGGCTGCTGCACCATGACCTAAGATCTAAGCTGATTTTTGACCTCTGCAGTATTTTCTCACCTACTCACCAAAAGCAATGATTTCCTTAGATTCCAAAAATATCAAATTTAGTATCTACAGACCTCTGGAGTAAAGATTTAAAAAGTTTAAGTGAAAATGTCTTCTCAGCTCAATCATAAATGGCTGGCCCCTTAACCTGAAACTAAGCACCCTCAGTTCTAGAGTTTTCAACCACTGTAAACAGCTTCTCAGCATTTACCCTGTTGAATCCTGTATGTTTCAATGAGATCTGCTCATTCTTTTAAACATCATACATTCAAGATCCATTCTATTCAATCACTCATCAACATTCTCATCCCTAGGACTCAATCTAGCAACTCTTTGTACCCCCCTCCATTTGTCAGCTGCCTAGAGATACACACCTAAACTTTTCTGCTTCTCTATCTTCTTTTCTTTCTTGATGCTCCATAGAAGCCACTGTTTTGGTTTTGGTCTAATACCGCCTTGAATGGTCCAATGGCACACTTTGTTTCATAACTTTTTTGTGAAGTGATTTGACACTTATTATAATGCTGTATACTTTAAGTTATAGAGTCATAGAGATGTACAGCACAGAAACTGACCCTTTGTCCAACCCTTGTCCAAGCCATCCTAAATTAATCTAGTCCCATTTGCCAGCATTTGGCCCATACCCCTTTAAACCTTTCCCATTGATGTACCCATCCACATGCCAAATAAATGTTGTAATTGTACCAGCACCAGCCTCCACCGCTTCCTCTGGTAGTTCATTCCATTCACGCACTACCCTCTGCGTGAAAAAGTTGCCCCTTGGGTCCCTTTTAAATCTTTCACCTCTCACCTTAAACCTATGGCCTCTAGTTTTTTCACTGTACTCCAGTACTTCTGGGAAAATAGCCCCAGTCTGTTCAGCATCTCCCTATAGCCCCAAACCTGGCAACATCCTTGTAAATCTTTTCAGAGCCCTTGCAAGCTTCACAACATCTTTCCCATAGCAAGGAGACCAGAACTGAACACAGTAGTCCAAAAGTGGCTTCACCCATGCCCTGTACAGCTACAACAATGAACCTCCCAACTCCTCTACTCAATGCACTGACCAATAAAGGCACATGTACCAAATGCCTTCTTCACTACCCTTTCCACCTGTGATTCCACTTTCAACGAACAATCCACTTCCAAGGTCTCCAAATTATTAAGAAATAAAAAAAATTCCAGATATCTTATGGCATAGAAGGAGGCTGTTCAGCCTATCGCACTGTAATGGATCTATTACTTAATGCCAATCACCTGCCTTTCCTTATATCCCTGCACACCATTTCTATCCAAATAATCATCCAATGCTCTCTTGGATGCTTCAATTGAACCTGTCCCCTCCACATTTCCAGGCACTGCTTTCCATATCCTAACTACTCGCTGAGTGAAAAAGATTTTTTTCACATTGCCTTTCATCATTTGCACATCAATTTAAATTTGTCCCCTCATACTTTTATCTTTTACAAGTTTCAGTTTCTCCCTATCTACTGTATCCAGTCTGCTTGTGATTTTAAAAACCTCTTAACAAATCTCATCTTCGCTTCTTCTTTCCAGTGAGAACAGTCCCATCTTTTTTGATCTATCCTCATAACTGAAGTTTCTCATTACTGGAACTATTCTTGTAAATTGCTTCTGCACTCTTTTTCTATGTATTCTTTACCATAATATGATGCCCATAACTGTACATAATATTCTGCTGAGGTGTAATAAGTGGCTTGTGTAAGTTGAACATCATCTCTTTGCTCTTGTACTCTATGCTGCCATAAATAAAGCTAAGAACACTATATGCTTCATCAACTGCTCTCTCCACCTGTCCTGCCACTTTCAATGACTTGCACACATAAACACCCATGTATGTTTGGTCCTGCATCTCTTTTAGGATTGTACCTTATTTTGTATTGTCTTTCAATGTTCTTCGAAGCAAAGTGAATCACCTCTACTTCTCTGCATTGAACCTCATCTGCCACCTGTCTGTTCACTTCACCAACTTGTCAATATCCTTTTGGAGTTCCACACCATTGTCTTCACAAGTTACAATTTTTACAAAACTTGCATTTATATATCATCTTTTGTGACTTTTTGATATTCCAAAGTGCAAGACGATGTATAAAGTACTGTTTGAAGTTTAGCCATTAGTGTTAGCTAGAAACGCAGCAGCCAACTTGCACAGAGCTAGCTCTAGCAACAGCAATATAATAATGACAAGATAGTCTGTTCTTAGTTGTGAATTGAGAGCTAAATATTGGGCAGGACAGTGTTTTTAATGTAAACTTGCATATAACTCCCCATAATAAAAGAATGAATAAAATAATACCACTGATCTGATTTGTTGCTCGTGCACTTCCTGGTGGAGCACAGTTTCAACACAGCATTGACAAAAGTTGTGTTGTGAGGAGATGCAAAGACAAGGTCTCATGAAAGCTATCTTAATCCGCAAAGGATTGGTGTGGTGCTGTGGTAGAATTGCAATTCCTCTGGAATCTCTTCTTTAAAGCTGAATATCCTAATACCACATTGTTGTCAACTGGTACTAATCAATTGAGTGTTTTGAAACAGCAATGACCAGGTTTAGGGTGTTTGAGTTTTGCAATACAGCATGTTAGCATTCTATAACTTTTCTTCTGCAGTAATGCTCAGGTTGACTCAGCGTCGCAGGAAGTGGAAGATCATGAGAAAACGACAAGCTGTGGAAATAGCATGGAATAAAAGTAAGCAACGCCTGCTTGCAAAAAACAAAAGGAATGTCTGCAAGGCAAAGACAATTGCTGCTGCAACAGCAGGGTGAGCAGTTCTCTGACAGACGTTAATTAGCAAGGCTAGCCTGTTACAATGGTGTGGATTACTTGGAAATCATATTGTAACAAAAAATATTAAGTTCCCTTATACTTTCTGTCTACTCACAAAGAAATCTGTTGAATTAGGATTTATAACTTCTTTAAAAAAAAATCTCCCTAGTTGACTTTGTCTATAAACTATTTATCAAACCAATTTCACATCTGATTTTTTTGTTCTCCTTCTCTTCCCCCTACCACAACCCCAAAGTAGGCTTACTGTCAGTTGCCCCCAATCCTGTTCAGGATTAGTTATAATCATTAGTTATAATCGCCTGATCGTTAGCAACTCCTTTGTCTGTCCAACTGTCTTTCTCTCTCTTTGGGCTCTATCTTATCGTTTACTCCCTACCCCACCCACCTCCCTATTTTCTGCATATAAACTGACATTTTCCCAGCCACCATCAGTTCTGAGGAAGGGTCACCGGACCTGAAACGTTAACTCTGTTTTCTCCTCCACAGATGCTGCCAGACCTGCTGAGCTTTTCCAGCAACTTTGTTTTTGTTCCTTAGTTATAATGACATTTAGCTCTTAACTCTGAATGCTGCTGCTAATTGCAGTGGTCTTCCCGCTGCCCAAAACATACCTGATTGGAATGGCTCTAATCCACTATGGGAATTGCAAATGTATTAGAACATAGAACAGTACAGGCCCTACGGCCCACTATGTTGTGCCGACCTATTATCCTACTGTAAGATCAAACAACCGTGCATACCCAACATTTTACTATCATCCATGTGCCCATCCAAGAGCCGCTTAAATGTCCCCAATGTATCTGACTCCACAACCACCGCCGGCAGCGCATTCCATGCACCCACCACTTGTTGTTTAAGTTATCAGTTTAATAGTTGTTGAGTGGTGGCTGAAGGATCTTGCACACATGGTCTAGGCTGACACCACAGAGCAGTTCTGAGGTAGTATTGCACTTCTGGGTTAGCTGTCAACCCAATTCCCGTTTGACGTCCTTGATTGGTACAATTTGAAGAACAGGGGTGATGTTCTCCTGATGTCCTGGCTGTCATTTATGTCTCAATCAACATCACTAAAATTGTCTGCTCATCTATCTTATTGCTTTTTCTGGTGTCTTTTCATGTGCCAATTGAAGATGCAAAAGAAATTATAGAAATGCAAACTCAATGTGTCCCAGTTTACCAGAGTGTATCTGACAGTGTGCATGCAGTATTTCTCAAGACTTGCCTGCTGCTACTCAGTATAAATAAATTATTTGACATTAATGTTTGTTCCTACTTTGTGGATCACTCGCATGATGCATGATTCGCTTGCATTTCTTTTTGTTTTAAATCTAGGAAGAAAGAAGCACCAGTGTCTAATAGCAATGCCTCCCAGCATGAACCAGATCCTATTGGGCTCATTTCCTTAGTGAGTGTGAGGAATATGCTGAATCCTCTTCAGGCTGTAGTTTCCACTTTGTACAACAGGTGGCTGAACAACATTAAACAGGTATAAATGCGAAATTAGACTTTTAAATCACATGATAAAGGTTATTTTGACTTTCCACAGCCAATTGTGTCATTACCTATTTTCCAGCAATTTGGATAAGTGAACTATAATTCTATATGTTGACATCTCAAAAAGGCTCGATTTTCCAATTTTCATTTTAAAATTAGTTGGCCAGCTTTATTTTGTATACGGGATCTGGTGGTCAAAAATTCTTGCAAATTTTCTGCCTCAATGATTCCTTGCTAGTTTGGTCTGAGAACCTTCAGTTACTTTCTCAAAGTGGATTTTGAGGAGGTTGTTTGACTGCAGTATGCTCAAGCACACAGTTTGATCATAATTGTGTTCTCCAGGTTTAGGATTCAGCCCGTTCCTTCCCAACATGAAGACTTTGTGCTTCAGTCTTCATGGTTTCAAGACACCAGAGCCCTGTTTCTGAAGATTGTTTGGCTTCTCACATTCTTCAGTACTTCAGTTTTTACATGAGCCAGAATGTACCAGATCCACTATAGATGAATAAGCATTATCTGGGGTGAAAATCTCTTCAAAGCTTGATCCTTCACTTCCCCATCTCCTCTCGAATATTCAGACCTCAAGTTCCATACACCAGTTTGATTTAAATTTGCATGATTATTCACCACTTAAAATGTTTATCCTTAAATTCCTACCTCTCTACCTCTAAGCAGGTTCATTTTTTGAATTTGTATTCTCTAGCCTTTTAAAAATATTCTACAACATATAAGTGACACAGATGTAATGGAAAACATATCTGAAAGGATAAGTATTTTTAGAATTCATGCTGTGGGAATAGAAGTGGAAGAGGTTTTGAATCAAAGTCTACAATAAATGGACATATAGTATTAAGAAATAGACGATCAGGCCCTCAGACCCTCAAGCCTGTTCTCCCATTCTAGATCATGGCTGATCATCTACTTCAGCATCATATTTCCATGTAATCCTCATATTCCTTGATGTATTAATTACTAGAAAGCTGTCATTTGCAGTCCTGAATTAATGACTAAACTTTCATAGCCCTCTTGGATAGAGAATTCTACTGATTCAGCACTAAGTGAAAATGTTCTTCCTCATCCCAGTTCCAAATGGCTTGCATTTTGTTCTGAAATTGTGTCCCCTGGTTCTAGACCACACAGCCAGGGGGACTATCCTTTCTGCATCTACTGTCACATCTTGTAAGAATTTTGAAATTTTCAATGAGATCATCCCTCATTCCAAACTCTAGAGAATACAGGCCCAGTCTCCCAAACCTCTCTTCGTAGGACAGTTCGCCATTACAATGTGGTGAATCTCCACTGTACACCTGCTATGGCAAGTATATCCTTCTTTAGGCAAGGGTACCACAGCTGCACACAATATTCCAAGTGCAATCTCTGTATTGTTCTGTACAATTGAAACTGCCTTATATTCTTTCTTACTCAAATCTTCTTGCAATAAAGGCTGAAAAGACCGTTTGCCTCCCAAATTGCTTATTGCATCTGCATACTAACTTTCATTGACTTATGAGGAGGGACACTGAGGTCTCCTTGGACATTAACACTTTCCAATCTCTCATCATTCACTAAATAATCTGCATTTCTGTTCCTCCTACCATAGTGGATTTCCTCACGTTTATCCACATTATTTTCTATCTCCTATGCTCTTGCCCACTCACTCAGCCTGTCTAAATGCCCCAAGGTCTCTCTCAACTCAGATTCCCAACAAATTTTGTACCATCAACAAACTTGAAAATATTACCTTTGGTTCCCAAATCATTGATAGATTGTAAACAGCAGGTGCCCAAGCCCTGATTTTTGCTGTACCATGCTGGTCACAGTCTGCCAAAATTAGAGTCACCCATTTATCTTTACCTGATTTCTGCCTGTTAACCATTCCTTAAACCATGCTGGTGTGTTAGCTCCAACCTTATGCACTTGATCTTTGTTTACGAGTGTCATTTATGGGACTTTGATTAATGTTTACATATATATAAATGACTCTGCTGGCAACATCCACAAAACAAAATCAAGTTGTCAAACATGATTTCCCCTTTATAATTAATCTTATCCTTGATAGATTCTAGTATTTTCCCTCCTTCTGATGCCAGGCTTAAAGGTAGTTAGTTCCTTGTTTTCTCTCTTACTTATTAAACTCTTGCAACTTTCTAATCTTCACGCATCAATATGAAATTAACAGAAATTTTTTTCTATCCAATTGTGGGATGTGGGTGTCGCTGGCTGGCCAGCATTTCTTGCCCATCCCTAGTTGCCCTTGAGAAGGTGGTGGTGGGCTGCTTTCTTGAACAACTCCAGTCCATCTGCTGTAGGTTGACCCACAATGCCATTAAGGAGGGAATTCCAGGATTTTGACCCAGCAACAGTGAGGGAACAGTGATATATTTCCAAGTCAGGATGGTGAGTTGGTTGGGGGGGAACTTGGAGGTGGTGGTGTTCCCATGTATCTGCTGCCCTTGTTCTTCTAGATGGAAGTGATTGTGGGACTGTAAGGTGCTGTGTGAGGATCTGTGATGAATTTCTGCAGTGCATCTTGTAGATAGTACACACTGCTGCCACTGACCATCGGTGGTGGAGGGAGTGAATGCTTGTGGATATAGTGCCAATCAAGCGGGCTGCTTTGTCCTGGATGGTGTCAAGCTTCTTGAGTGTTGTTGGGGCTGCACCCATCCAGGCAAGTGGAGAGTATTCCATTATAGTCCTAACTTGTACCTGTAGATGGTGGACAGGCTTTGAGGAGTCAGGACGTAAGTTACTCGCCGCAGTATTCCTAGCCTCTGACCTGCTCTTGTAGCCACTGTGTTTATGTGGTGAGTCCAGTTGAGTTTCTGGTCAATGATAACCTCCAGGATGTTTATAGTGGGGTTTCAGTGATGGTAACACCATTGAATGTCAAGGGTCATGGTTAGATTGTCTCTTATTGGTGACAGTCATAGCCTGGCATTTGTGTGGCGTGAATGTCACTTGCCACTTGTCAGTCCAAGCCTGGATATTCCAGATCTTGTTGCATTTGAACATGGACTGCCTCAGTATCTGAGGAGTCATGAATGGTGCTGAACAGTATGCAATCATTGGCGAACACCCCCACTTCTGACCTTATGATGGAGGGAATGTCATTGATGAAGCAGCTGAAAATGGTTGGGCTGAGGACGCTACTCTGAGGAACTCCTGCAGAGATGTCCTGGAGCTCAGATGATTGACCTCCAACAACCACGACCATCTTCCTATATGTCAGGTATGACTCCAACCACTGGAGAATTTGCCCCCTGATACCCATTGATTCCAGTTTTGCTAGGGCTCCTTGATGCCGCATTCGGTCGAATGCAGGCTTGATATCAAGGGCTGTCACACTCACCTCACCTCTGGAATTCAGCTCTTTTGTCCATATTTGAACCAAGGCTGTAATGAGGTCAGGATCTGACGGAACCTGGCGGAGCCCAAACTGGACGTCACTGAATAGGTTATTGCTGAACAGGTGCTGCTTGATAGCACTGATGATGACCCCTTCCATCACTTTACTGATGATCGAGAGTAGACTGATGGGGCAGTAATTGGCCGGGTTGGATTTATCCTGCTTTTTGTGTACAGGACATGCTTGGGCAATTTTCCACATTGTCGGTAGATACCAGTGTTGTAACTGTGTACTCGAACAGCTTGGCTAGGAGAGCAGCAGGTTCTGGAGCACAAGTCTTCAGTACTATTGCCGGAATGTTGTCAGGGCCCATAGCCTTTGCAGTTTTCAGTGTGTTCAATTGTTTCTTGATATCACGTGGAGTGAACTGAATTAGCTGAAGACTGACATCTGTAATGCTGGGGACCACTGGAGGAGGCTGAGATGGATCATCCACCCGGCACTTCTGGCTGAGAATTGCTGCAAATGCTTCAGCCTTATCTTTTGCACTGATGTGCTGGGCTCTTCCATCATTGAGGATGGGGATATTTGTGGAGCCGCCTCCTCCAGTGAGTTGTTTGATTGTCCACCACCATTCATGACTGGATGTGACAGGACTGCAGAGCTTAGATCTGATCCGTTGGTTGTGGGATCGCTTATCTCTGTCTATCACTTGCTGCTTTCGCTGTTTGGCTTGCAAGTAGTCCTGTTTGGTGGCTTCACCACATTGACACCTCATTTTCAGGTATGCCTGGTGCTGCTCCTGGCATGCCCTCCTGCTCTCTGCATTGAACCAGGGTTGATTCCCCTGGCTTGATGGTAATGGTTGAGTGGGGAATATGCCAGGCCATGAGGTTACAGATTGTGCTGGAGTATAGTTCTGGTGCTGTTGATGGCCCACAGCACTTTATGGATGCCCAGTCTTGAATTGCTAGATCTGTGCGAAGTCTGTCCCATTTAGCACAGTGATAGTGCTATACAACACGATGGAGGTTATTCTCAATGTGACTTTGTATTTTGATAGTAGCTGCACTGGTGAGCATCTACATCTGTAACCATCTCTTCAAACACACTGTGGTGAAAGTCATCGAATCCTGAGGATTTATCAACATTTAGTCCCATTAATTTCTCCAAGACTAGTACTAATTTCTTAAAGTACCACAGTCTCATGAGAGCCTTTCATCGTAACTATTTCATGGAGATTTCTTCCTCTTGTGTAGATAGAAATACAGCACTTCTTTAGCTTCTGTTATTTCTCTATTTTTCTACTATAAACTCTCCTGTCTCTCCCTGTACTAGAGCCACATCTGTCTTTGAGCTTCTTTGCAATTTTACGTAGAGAAGCTTTTATGATCTGTTTTTATGTTTCTGGTTTATTTACAATCCTGTTTTCTTCTCTCTTTGTTAAACAATGTCTTGGCCCTCCTTTACTGGATTCTAAAATTCTACCAATCCTGAAGCTTGCAACTGTCTTAGCCTTCTCATTTAATCTAATACCATCTTTACCTTGTTCGTCTCACTTTTCCATCCTTGCCCACAATCCTTTCCTGATTGTGGCAATAATTAAGTCCATTGTATTACCCTAAATGCCATTAAATTGCAATCAGTTAATTCAGTACGTTTTGAGACTGAAACCCAGGGCTCGTTAACTTTGACTCAGCAGCAAATGAAATGAATCAAAAATGAAACAATTGTATCTTATTGCTTTGCCAATGATTTGTTTCTTCTGTGTTTACAGGGTTTAGAAGTAATGAAGGACACATTATTTCCTTCTCGTGTTTACTTACGGGAACTGAATGCACTACGACAACATGTTGAGGCACTTGAGATGAAGCTAGTACAATTGCGAGAAATCTGCAATGTAACCTTGGTAAATAGATCACCTCAATTGGAATATGTTTTGTGCAGTGTATCCACATTTAAAACCAAATAGAATACTTCTGTTTGCTAAATGTTGGAATCCTTACGTTAGATGAAAAACATGGACAAGTGACAAGCACCATCAAATTATTTAGACTCAGCAGAAAATTTCCACAATTTGGATCACCAATGTTTCCGCGATTAAATAATGTGTGCAAATATTAAGAATGTAGGTGATTACGGACTAACTCTCGCTATAGAAACCAGCGACATGCTCTAGCGAAGTAAAGAATCAATATCTCTGCTAGCAACATCCTCAAGAAAAAACAATATATTCCTAAGCTAATGGGCCAAATAAGACTAAAGGACATTGCAATTGAAGTTTGTGATGGGAATGCTGTTCCAAATAAGCTAAATTAGAAGAAAACACGTACATTTTTAAAATTATCGAGACATGATTCAGAGTCATCAGCACGGAAACAGATCCCTTGGTCCAACTAGTCTATGCCAAACATAATCCCAAACTAAACTCGTCCCACCTGCCTGCTCTTGACCCATATCCCTCCAAACCTTTCCTATTCATGTACTTATCCAAATGTCTTTTAAACATTGTAATTGTACCCACATCCACTACTTCCTCAGGAAGTTCATTTCACATGTGAACCATTCTCTGCAAAAATTTGCCCCACATGTCTTTTCTAAATCTCTCTCCTCTCACCTCCTGCTGCTAGACTCTTATTAGCATTTAATTCTGTAGTGGATACAGTGTATTATTTTTCAGATGTGTAGTAATTAAAAATGTATCATGGGTAAAAATATATTCAAGGACCATATATCTGTGGAACTTCTATAAATTGGCTAAATAATAGGAAACCGAGAGAAATGACAAAAGGTTATAGTTCTAATTGGACTTGTATGTAGCAGCAGATATTTGATGTTCTTGTGCACTGTTCATACATAAATTATCTTTCAAGACTTGAAAATGCTGATTTTTAGCAGATGATGCCAATTAAATGAGAAAGTAAGGATTTTTTTGTTAGAATAGAAAAGCGCCTGTTTAATTGCCTGCGAAAGACTTGACAAAGTGGGGAAAGTACATTTCGAATTAAATCTGAATGCTAAATTGTATTTGGATATGAGTTTAAAAATGGATGGGGGATGTATTGGTCATAATATTCTGTTCAATTAAAATATGCTCGTGAAAAGTTAGAGATGAGAAAAGCTATGAAGATGGGATAATGAGTTGAAGCTATTGTAATTTGAGAGGGGGAAGATTTTGAAAGGATGTGATCAGTGCTTTTGGAAATGTTTAAAATTACTTCATGCAAAACCTGAATATGTGAACTAGATGTCTAGTTCAGCTGCAGGCTTAATCATTCTTAATCACTAATTTCTGTAGTTGACTACCATCTAGTGGATAAAGTACTGACTCTGTCAATTTGAAAATATATCTTTTGTGACATGTGGCCAATCTGTATCCAGTGAGAGAATTTTCTGCCACTTGAAATGTCCCTTTAGGTTAAAGTAAATGTTCTGCATTCAGTTTATGGATGATAGTAATGTTCTGAAGCCTACATATCTAGGACTATACAAGCTAATTGATTCCTTTGGACAGGTTCCAAGAAATAACTCTGGTTTAATTGGCTACTTTGCACACATTCCTATAGAAGGTGATGTTATCAGGATATCAATTTGTGCTGTATGGTTGATGCTAAAATTGAAAGTATCAAACTAAATACTAACATTATCCAAGTTGGAATAAGGGGTTTTCTGAATGTATCAAACTGTTGGTCCTAATTGAGCTCCATTAGATAAATGCAAAGCAAGGGGAGCCTGCACTGTAAGTCTCTTGATAATATATTTAACTACTTTTTAAGGTCTAGGATTGTTTCTATGTACTGAAGAAAAGCTGAACTGGTGCAATTATTCAGTATAATAGTAGAGACTCAAAAATTGCATGCTTATTGTCAGCTTTTCTTGAAGGTGCGTTGTTTGGCATGATTATTACAGATGTATAATGTAACACCTCAAGAGATGTTAGGTATGCTTAACAAGATTCCTGAGGGGGACAAAAGGTGTCTTGTTAAATTTGTGGAAGAAATTATTAGCTTTAGCAGAGGCAGATGGTCTGATCAACAATATTTACTCTGGCTTTTAAAAGTCAAGTTGACACCTAATAGGCTATTCAAAAAGATTAAAATCATATGAGATTAGGAGTGAATTTTGGGTTAGATGAGAAATTGAAAGCATTCCTGAATGCAGATATTTGTTGTTAATGAAAGCAAGGAAATCAGTTATTCATAACGTTTTACTCTTCGCAATCTATATGTGAACCGCATGAAGGTTGAGGGGAACTGTCCATAATTTTTGCAGATTATGATACAGGTAAATACAGTGTCATGTACATGAGCAGGGTTAGTGAGGAGCACATCCATATGCTCTGCAGGATTGTGAACACAAGTCAACGCTGAATCCAAGGTAGTTTGGTGTGCGCATTACTGCAAAGGTAACAATGACTCAGACTGCCAAGCATGTTAGATCCCTAAAATATGAACTTTCCGTTCTCCATGATAGTCTCACACCAATTCAAATTTGCATAATTCATTCCTTTTGTTATTTTTATTTTTATTTTTAATTATTTTTATTTGGAAAATTTTTAAATTTATTTAGGAGTTATCTGCACCAAATATGTAAACTTAACTTGAGTATATTTGCACACGAAATGGAAGAATTAATTGTGTTTGTTACAGTACAGCGTAATGTTTTGTGTTTGTATGTATTGATGGCAGTTGATAATTTTAAATATCTCCCCAGCCCCAAAAAAAACCCTGCTGATCTCGAATTCTGCTCTTCTTGTCTCTTACAGGAGTCTAATAATTCAAAAGCTGCTGATGCATGTTCTTGTCGAAAATATGTTGATTTCTCTCCGGGCCCTACAAAAATACCAGTGTGGCCAGTCCAGCCAATCATGAGTCGTACCTTACTGCAAGAACCATTTGGCGCACCTCCTCCCCAGCCTCCACCTCCACCACCCCCTCCTCCACTACCACCACCTTGTGTGTTTGTACAGAAACCACTGCAGATTGATCGGAAAACTAGGCGTGAAAATTCTTTGCAAGTGAGTGTGTGTTAAACTGTAGAATGAGATTTAAAACTAAAATTAAGATGTAAATTGCAGTCTTAATGTTTATTTGTAATCATTAAAAAATTTTCTTTCTGTTTTCAAATAATTATAGAACTTTTGTAGAATTTATTACTTGAGTTATTGAAAGTTTGTAGACTCTAAATCTTGAGTTTTGAGAAGATGCTAATGTGATGTAGATGGCTACATTAATTAAATACTTGAACCAAATCACACATGCAGGATGAGGAAGCAGCCTCCCAGATGCTTAAACTCTGAAAAATCCAAACTTGCAGAGTGCCAACTTTGATCCACTGTTGGTACTCTTGCATCTGTTCATGGAGTGAACCCTCAAGATGACCCTTCGCTTCCATAGCAGACAAAATGCCGCTTGAAAATTGTATTCCTAAATTTTTTTTTATTCATTCGCAGGAATGACGAGTTGGGTCGAACGCCATGTTTCTGTGCTGTATGACTCTAGGATGTGGTCATCAATGACTAGGCCAGCATTTATTGCCCATCCCAAATTGCCCTTGGGATGGCAGCAGTGAGCTGACTTTTTGAACCGTTGTGTTCCATGTGGTTTTGGTACATCCACAGTGCTGATAAGAAGGCAGGTCTAGGAACTTGACCCAGGGACAGTGAAGGAACAGTGGTATACTTTCAAGTCAGGTTGAGCTGAGGCCGTATCGTCTGTGAAGTATGCAGTGGTACAATTTGAAAAATGGAGAGTTATTATTGCCACCATTTAACCAGATTCAAGTCCAGTCCCATTCTGTTCCATTGTCAATCAACAATGGAAAATACAAAGATGAGAGAGAATTTCCTATTGGCAGGGAGTTGGAAACTAAGAAGAATTGTGATGTTTATCTGAGAATTAAAATGATATGACAGGTTGGCATGCCATTCTATGCCAATTCTCTTGCAACAGAATCATCATGAAATAGCAACTAGGATGGAACAACCAAGAACCCTAAGAAATTATGTGATATTTGGCTGTCTTATAGCTGCAAGTTACAAATTACTATGGACAGCTTTTAAAGAGAAAATCCACCTTCTGCCTTCACTTACTTCATCCTGTAAAATTAGGGTAATTTTCCTTGTGTCATGAAAATCTAGTTCATATAGTACTTCTAACTTCCATTGCTATTCTCTTTCACAAATGTTAAAATTTACTCTAATTTCTTGACTCTATGGAGTCAACAAATGTCCATCTCTAGTCTTTGGAAGCTTTAAATATGACAGTGATTATCTTGAATGTAATCTGAAGCAATTTGAAACAAAATAATAATGTGAATTGTAGATTTTTTTCATTGCTGTCTCCTATTGCTTTCACAGGCAATCTCTAAGGAAATTAACAGACCACCAACCATAACCATGAAAGATTTGCTTAAAGTAAAACTAAAGAAGACTACAGACAGATTTGAAAAAGAAAAGGTTGGTGTTAATATTATAAGGCTATTTGTTTTATTAGTACAGATTGTGCTTTGTAACACTTTGTGGCATTCACAGACTCTTCCTGAAAGGATAGACAGATCATTATCTGTGACGGTAAAGGATTTACTTGAAGTGAAACTGAGGAAGACGCAGAACAAAGTAAATGAATTAGAGGTGAGAACTGTATACAAGTTTCATTCGAGCAAATCTTTCTGGAATTCTCAAAACAGCGTGAAGCAACAGGGGATAATTAGTCCTGCTGTTGCATTATTCTTATCAAAGTAATAAACCTAATAATAGTTGGCAGTTTTAACTAAGTTATAGACCTTAATTACAAACAGTTATCTCTTGGTTGGCCAGATCATGAAAATATTATTTAACAGGAAGACATTTCACTTCAGAATTGCCAGTGTATATATATTTTTAAATTTGCATAAGATATGTAATAGGTTATAGATATTCCTAATCATTAATGTACCTGGAAACTTGGCTGTGTGAATGTTCATGTTGCTTAATTATTATTGTCTGAAGTACTACGATTCATACTTTGTTTGCAGGTAAATACACCAGGAAAGAAAAGATCTCCTTTAGTCACAATCTCTGATCTACAAGGCTTTAATTTGCAGGCAAAAGCTAACCAACTACAGAAACCAGCATCAATGATGTAAGCCTATGAGGTCCTTTAGTAACAATGATCCTGTGAACTCTAAATAATGTAGCTAAATAACAACAATTATTTCAATTATACATAGTATTTTGGTATGATTATTTTATTAGTGATATGTTTTTAAGCAGTGGTAAAATCTTCAGTTTTGAGTATTTTTATTTTCAAATTGAATTCTTGCATTTGTAGAAAGAGCAGAAAAAATGAAAACCTGGATTTATATATTTTATGACAAGGTTTATAACTGAGTACTTTTAAAATGTGTTCATTATATTGTATTTGAAATGCGGGCATCCCTTTTCACATAAAGATCTTGCTAACAACAATATGATCATGACCAGAAAACCCGTTTTAGTGATACTTAGTGAGGAATAACTATTAGTGGTAACAACTGAGAGGTGTTCCCTGCTCTTGATTTATTATCGTGGAATCTCTTTATATCCACCTGGGAGGGTGGACAAGGGACCAGTTTAATGTTTCATCTGACATACGGCAGCTCTGCTTGCATAGCACTTCCTCAGTACTGCACTAGAAGTATCAACATTGATTATGCCCTCAGTGCCCTGGAGTGGGACTTGAATCATCTGACGCAGATGGAAATCTTTACCATACCCTGAATTGCAAACTCTAATAATGAGCAATGCATCAAAACAATATTACTCTCTTCCTATTTGGTGTAATTATAGCTGAATAGGACAACATCGTTTTCACAATGTTAGTAGTCAGAACTCCCTTTCAGCAAAGAGTTTATTAAACTAACCTTTACAGGGCCTACTCAAACTGTGACAAATGCTTTTGCTTTATGTTCTGAACAAACTTTACTTCCGTTTCTCAAAGTAATAAGTTAAACACTCCTATGTGATCTTATTTTTGCCATGAAGTTTTGATCTCATAAGCTTTGAACTTTTCTGTTCATTAGGAATGGGATTGGCTGAGGAGAGCCAAAGATAAAAGACATTATTGGTTCAAATCTTGCCAAAAGTGGGTGCCTTTTTCATATGTTTTTAAATGTACAATTATGGTGTCTGCATAATATGCCAAACTTCTAGGTAGTACTTAAATGAAGAATTGCCTAAATGTAACTTCAATTTTTGGATTTTTTTCTTAATTAGAATCACTCTACATAAACCTGCAGTCGATTTTCGGCAACATCTAAAGAAAGTTGCTATAGAAAGGTAATATTAGCTAATAAAAATCATTATTCACTTATGTAAATAAAGCAAACTTTGTTTTAACCGGCACCTAATGAACCTGCACTCTTGATAAACCGGCAAAAATTATATACCTGAAATGCCGAAAGTTTACTGTATTATTGCAATCTGCACGATGGCCGAGGAGTCAGTTGAGGGTGTGAGTGAGAAGGCTCTCTGCCACTAAGTTTTATTTAAGTTATTATTTGAGTGCTGTATGCTGTAAATAATGTATTACAGTGATGTGTATGCCCACTGTATTACATTTCTATTACTTAGTGTGCTTTTTTACATTCAATGTGTAGACCTCTTGATTATCTGGAATATTTATCAACTGGTACACTCCTGGTCCCATAGATGCCAGTTAATAAAATGTTTGCTGTCTATTATTTTTAACCAGCTTTAATGAGCTATATTAATTTTGATATGTCACAGCTAACTCATTATAAAAGTAATAAAGCAATTTCTGTTCTATTTATTTCTTGTAAGTATTACAGACCCAGCTGGGTATTTAATTCATAACCTGCAAAATTAGCTTTTTTTTTCTCCTCATCATTGAAAACATTTATTCCTCCTTGGGTTATAGTTTTTAATCAAACTGGTTTCTTTCCTGTATTAAGCCTATGTTATTCAATTGATCTGATGTGGAAAGCTGCTGGACTAAGGGTGAACATTGCTGTCAAGTTTGATTATGTTTATCCCAAAATTCTACACTCCTACTTTCCAGTAAGATGTCCTTGACTAATTATTGAGGGAAGCTTGCTTAATTCTCTCACCACTACTCCACCTCTGCCAAGCAAAACTGTGGCACTCCATTGCCACCCTTGTCTAAATTGGCTAGCTCAATTGTTTAAAACTAAAACATTGCAGTTTTTTTTACATCTTTGGCATATCCATGCTGCTTTTTATTGTGTAAACCAGAAGAAGCCTTTTCACTTTAAAGTCTTCCTTTGCCTGCTGTTATTCAGAAGTTTTCCTTTCTACTTCTGGCCCCTTCCCAAGTAAGGTGCCAATCTAATTCATCTTGGAAGGACTGAGGATTAAATTCAGAAATTGCTGTTAAAATTGAGGTGGTCCCTACACCTGAGGCATTAACTCTGATCTCTCTCCACAGATGCTGCCAGACCTGCAGAGTTTTTCCAGCAATTGCTGTTTTTGTTTCTGATTTCCAGTATCTGCAGCTCTTCCAGTTTTTTTTTTTGTCGAGGATTAAATTGTTTTTCCTAAAAATGCCATCATCTCAGAATTTACAGGTGCCTAAACCAGAAACAAGTTAAAATGTTGTGAGTTAAGATTGCTTCATCATTTATTAAAACTGATGTTCAAAACCTAGGGAATAAACACAAAAAAATTGCAACCGCTGGAAATCCAAAACAAAAACATTGATATTGCTGGAGAAACTTGGCAGATCTGACAGCATCTGTGGAGAGAGGAAAACAGTTAATGTTTCGGGTCTAGTGACCCTTCTTCAGAACTGAAATTCTCTGCTTCTCTCCACAAATGCTGCCAGACCTGCTGAGTTTCTCCAGCAATTTCTGTTTTTGTTTCAAAATTTGGGGAATTCATTTGAACCATGCTGGAAAAGGCAGGTGATGCCAGAAGTAACTCTGAGCTGAAAGAACGTGTTTTGGAAAGGTGTTTAATACTATTGCTTACCTTGTGAAATGTTTGATTCTAGGAGCCCTGGTGGAACACCTCTCCATAAAGAAAACAGGGACACTGGAACAGGATTAACACCAGTTATGACACAAGCACTAAAACGGAAATTTAAGGTAATCACAAAACAACTGAATTGTTTCCCCCCACCCCCCCAACCAAATGTTCCTCCTGCAACTCCATTGATGAACTACTTCATAACATGTTTTATAACTATGCAAAATAATCTGTTTTCCCCAAAATACAAGAAAAATGTATTTATTTTTGTCTTCTAACTTTTCTCCTAAAGCAACTGAATCCTTGCTATGGGGTTACAGTTCCATGATTGCTCACTAGTCCCTTCCCAAGTAGCTCCCAGTACAGGGCTAGAAGGTTACTGTCAATTGACAGTTCTTCTGCTGTGGTATTACATATGTGCCAAATACTTTCCCTGCCAAATATCACATCATTTGAAGTAACATGGGCATAAAACTGGGCATAAACTATTTTGCACCCTTAAACTAGATGTTACTAGGTAGTGACAGATTCTTTCCATCAAACCAAGCCTGGAATTGGCTAACTTTGCAACATGCACTTAAACCTGACATGTCTAGTCTGTTTGGCCCAGCTTTCAATGCCCCGTTTAACTTAATCAAAAGTTTCCAAACTTGGGGTTGTTGGTAGATGTTGGGACTGTGGGGTTGCAGAGCTAGAATTCATTATATGTAGCTTAACATTTTGGCAAAGATCTGTAGCTCGGTTTGTGGATGAGGTTGTTGACTTGCTCGCAGAGCTGGCTTGTTTTTTTTCAGACGTTTCGTCACTATGGTCGGTGTCATCATCAGTGGAGCCTCCAATGAAGCGGTGTTATTCTACTCCGCTTCGAATTTGTACTGTCCAGTCCGTTACAGTGAGTAGTGACATTTCCGGTTTTGATCTGTATGGGTTTGTATTTGGGGTCCAATTCTATATGTTTGTTGATTGAAATATGGGTGGAGAACCATGCCTCTAGGAATTCCCCTGCATGTCTATGTTTGTCTTGGGCTACAAGATCACTACAAGATGATCAGAGGATTAGATAGGGTGGACAGTGGGGGCCTTTTTCCTTGGATGGTGATGGCTAGCACGAGGGGACATAGCTTTAAATTGAGGGGTGATAGATATAGGACAGATGTCAGAGGTAGGTTCTTTACTCAGAGAGTAGTAAGGGCGTGGAATGCCCTGCCTGCAAAAGTAGTAGACTCGCCCACTTTAAGGGCATTTAAATGGTCATTGGATAAACATATGGATGATAATGGAATAGTTTAGGTTAGATGGGCTTCAGATTGGTTTCACAGGTCGGCGCAACATCGAGGGCCGAAGGGCCTGTACTGCACTGTACTGTTCTATGTTCTATGGGCTACTATGGTTACTTTGTCCCCGTTAAACTGATGGCCTTCATTGTCTGAATGTACAGATATTAAGGAGAGTTCATCGTGCCGTTTTGCTGCAGGCTGATGTTTGTGTGTTCTGATTGCTAGTTCCCTTCCTGTCTGTCTGATGTAATGTTTGTGGCAGTTGTTGCATGGTGTTCAGTAAACTACGTTCGTTCTGCATGTTGTGGGAATGGGGTCTTTAATCCTTGTAACTGTTTGTCGTAGAGTGACTGTGGGCTTGTGGGCCACCACGATTCCTAGTGGTCCTAGGAGTCTTGTTGTCAGTTCCGATATGTTCCTAATGTAGGGCAGTGTGGTCAGTGTGTTAGGACATACTGTGTCCTCCTGTTGTTGTCTGTTTTTTTTTAAGGCATCTTACATCAAACACTTACAAGGATTAAAGACCCCATTCCCACAACATGCAGAACAAATGTGCTTTACAAAATACCATGCAACGACTGTCACAAACATTAGATCGCACAGACAGGAAGGGAATTAGCCATCAGAATACATGAACGTCAGCTAGCAGCAAAACAGCACGATGAACTCTCCTTAATATCTGTACATTCAGACAATGAAGGCCATCAGTTTAACTGGGACAAAGTAACCATAGTAGCCCAAGACAAACATAGACACGCACGGGAATTCCTAGAGGCATGTTTCTCTACCCATACTTCAATCAACAAACATATCGAATTGGACCGCCACATACAAACCCATACAGATCAAAACCGGAAATGACACTACTCACTGTAATGGACTGGACAGTACAAATTCCAAGCGGAGTAGAATAACACCGCTTCATCAGAGACTCCACTGATGATGTCACCTAGTATGGTGATGAAACATCTGAACAAAAACAAACCAGCTCTGCGAGCAAGTCAACAACCTAATTATCTGTACTTAGTGACTAATGGAGGGAAAACTTGTAATGCAGTGGTAGCATCCTTGATTCTGAACCAGAAGCTCCAGGCTGAAGTCCCACTCCAAGATCTGATGGCCAAGAAAGGTTCAAAATGTGGCCAAACAAGTTAAGTATCTACCTGCAAATCTTTCTAACCCATGCTAGTGGCAGGAGGTAAAAGTGGGAGACATTATGTAAGCCATGTGATGGAAAGAAAATTGGTATATGTACCACCACAATTCCAAGCTCCAGACTAAAGATAAAGTATTACCAGACCATAGGGCTGCTAACTCATTGGAGAGGGAGAGAGAGGACTAGTGGTGGTATATCCTGAGAGTCACTGTGCCTCAGACAAGGGGAGAGGTTGAGAAGGAGAACCTTTCCTGGTCACTTCAGCCAGAGCGGAAATTGAATCTAAGCTGTTGACATCACTACATCGCAAAGCAGCTGCCCAGCCTGAGCTAAACAGATGCTGTAGGTAAGACCTACCTTTGGCAGAGAACTTGAGAAGACTGAATAATTGCCACAAGATGTATTTTCTCCATTGGTGGCGCTGCAGCGCTGTTCAGTTCCGGGCTGATTTGACTCTATTCAAACTCCTACATGTCTAACAAGCAATGTCTGTTCTCAAAAAATTTAAGTACCCTGTTCCAGCTTGTAGAAAGTGAGCTGATTCCTGTTCATGGGTACTATTGTACAGAAATAAATTGCAGCATGTTGTTGCCCCATTTTCTCCCTCTGTAACACTGTGAACAGTCCTTTTTTTTGTTTGTTGTGTCCCTACAGCAGTGGTAGAGGCTCCAATTTCTTTCCATCAATTGGTTTACCAGGAATCTCTCCCACCCTTAGCCCCTGGCACTGATGTGGGATGTAAAAATTTACGGGTTGATACTGTTGCACCTTCACTGGGTTAGTGTACTGGAAATCAAACCTTACTCTTCCTAGAATCATGACAAGACCTTTAACTTTTACAATGTGCACAAAATTCCCCAATTTACCTGTGTCTTACACCAAGGTGAACAGAAACGATGGACCAGGTTTCTGTAGTTAACAAGAATTATTATTTATTATAAATAGACTGACACAAATAAAACAGGGGTGGAAGAAAAGATTGGGAAGGCAGTTCAATTGTCCCTGTCTGCAGATTTTTCACCTATCAGGGCTTTACTGCTCTTCAATCTTCCTTCTCCAGTTACTTTTACATGCTTGCAGGATGCATGGAGTGCAAGGTTCACATTCATAAAGTCTCCAACTTAGATGCTAAAAGCCACAGCCTGCAGCAACTTTTGCAGGAAATGAAACTGGCTTTCCTCAGGCTTGAGGTGTTTTTTTTATTCCTAAGAACTGATCAGGAGCTGCCTTGTCAGAGGTCCAATGGCTTCTGACCAAACATTCACACCCAAGCTGCTCAGCTGCTTGGGAGTAAAACACATAGCTGTTGGCAGGCAGCAGGACTTTCTCATCAACAATTGGTCACCCTCCACAGGCAAATCACCCTTTGTACACACTTCCTGGTTCCACTACCTGTGGCACAGCGGTAATGTCCCTACCTATGAGCTAGGAGGCTGGGGTTCATGTCCCATCTGCTCCAGAGGTGTGTAATAACATCACTGAACAGGTTGTTTTGTTTTTTTGAAAACCTAAACTGCACTTAAAATGAGTGTCCAGTAATTTTATTATCAAAAATGTACTGTAATCCTTTCCACAATCTTTGGTTTTTAAATCTGTCCTTTTCCCTTTTCAGTCCACAATCAATTTTTTCACAAAATACAGTCTTTACAATATGTAACCTGTTTGGCTGCATGTTAAATGCACCTTCCTTGGTCATCAAGTTCTGAAATCTCATGAATCCTTGGGTGCCCATGATGTTCAAAGGGAGTAGATAAATAAATATCTTTTTTGGGGGAAAAAACTCTTTGCCTCAGAAATGCTTTTTTTTTTGCCCAGTCCTTTGCTCTGTTTGGGAAATATTGATTTTACGCTGTTTGAATTTTCTGTTGCTGCTCACTTGACATCATTTTAAATTGAGAAAACAATTCAACAATAATATCAGCACTTGCAGGTTCCTGCTCAAATCTCCAAATTGGGCTCAGCCAAAAAAAATTGGGAATTCTGACCCTGACCAAAAGAAGCCAATATTTGTTGATTTGCGAAAGGAAGAAAGTGATGCCCTTGTCTAACAGATGTCTTGAAATATTTTCTGCTGAGTTAATGAGGCTTCTGCTCTATTTCAGATGGCTCATCCCAAAAGTCCTCCTTGTTCCTTGTCTCCGAACACCAGCTTTGATGAGCAAAATGCGAGCTAATTTCGAGCAATAAGTTTTTAGTTTTAAAACTGTAACATTTAATGTTTGTGTGTATAAAAAAAATAGATAAATTTCATTGATAAATAATGTGCAGATGGATGGACCTAGCTGAAAGTGACTGTGTTGTGCTTTCCATTATGTTTAGTCCTAGTTATGTTGACTGAACATAAAAACAAGTATATGTGCGGTTGCTGAACTCCTGTGGTTAACTGATGTTAACGTAATTGCTTTTTATACACTATCCCCAGAGTGTAAGTCTGCAGGCTCAAGACTCGGAAAAGGATTGAGCAAATTTAAGGCACATTACGAATGGTCCAACATTTTAATTGTTTCTTTTTGACAAATAACTCCATGTCAGCACCAAACATGCATTTATACTGTAATCATTAATTGCCTGGCCTGTGACACTGTCACCTCTTTATACAACACTGCTTTCAACCTTTTTACAATTGCCATTTATTAAATATCTATTAATATTGAATTCCTGTGACCAAACATACCAATGTAGAAATGATCATCTTCAGCTGTAGACTGTTGCCCTGAAGTTTGATTTCTGCAATTTATTAGAGCTGATAGAGTATAGTAATGTTTGGTCTTTGATCCAACGTAAACCCAAATGGATCACAGCAGTCGAAGTTTTCAGTAAGCCAATAGACTGCAAATCCTCTCATCAAATAGCACTTTATAGCATTGCAGATGCTGCAAGTATCTTCATAGTGCACACTTACAGCTAATAAGTAGCTGTTAATACTGCTTGTTATGTGATGGGGATAAAGCAATCTGGATCACAATTTTAAGAGTTACCACTTCCACATTAATAGCAATGTAATTGGAGAAATTTACTGTAATATAAAATAATTATAGCTCTATCATCTGAAATATTTTGCTAGCAATTAGTATCTATCTGCACTTCACATTTTCTATTAATATGCCAGACGTTCCCACAGCATTACTACAATAACCAAGATAACAATGATGCGGTTAGATGTGTATTTCAAAGATTTGGATGGTCAGCTTTTCTTTATTCAGTAAATGGAAAGAAAATTTGTGCCCAAAATATTTCTGTCTACCTTTTGTCCCCTACCCAAATAATACTTTGGGCATTTACTCATGTAAAAGTCTAGTTTTGCAGACTAATGTTTTAGCTAAAATGAGTAATTTTGAGGGATTAAAATCCACCCTGACTGTCACAAGGTGGCCAAGTTGGACACTTCCTGCCAACTCCAGCTAAAAAAGAAACTTTGACTGCAGACAGGAGGAGCTGAGCAGTCACCTTCAATGATGCAATATTGAATGTACTCACTGCGTACTCGCCTGAAGCCAACCATCCCCTGGCTTTTTTGGCTATAGCTTGGGGGATCAGCTTATACACAAGATCAATAATTACTCAAGGATATATGGTATCTCTATTTCAAAAGGTGTTTTTACAGAAATTAATGTTTTCATAAACCTCAGCTTGAGTACTGAAATGTAGTTCTGGATGATATGCTTTTTTGGATTCAAGTTTTCAGATGAAGCTGCTGGATGCAGTTCTGAATGTGTTTTGTTTTGTTTTTACGTGAATACTGCCTAATGTTTAACTATGTATATACCTACTTATAGTGTGTTTTCTTCCATCTATGTTTTTTAACGTGATGGAGTAAATTATCACACACTTTTCCTAAGTAGTCGGGGTAGAGTCAAATGATATATTGTTTAATATCATTAACTCTGTCTTGTGCTAAGAATTGAAATATTTGGTTGTTGAGATAGGTGTTTGTCTTTCAAACAAAAAACCAAAGAACTGCAGATGCTGGAAATCAGAAAAACAGAAATTGCTGGGAAAATCCAGCACGCCTGGCAGCATCTGTGGCGAGAAAGCAGAATTAATCTTTTGGGTCCAGTGACCCTTCACCATAACAGATCTTTTTTGTTTTGTTTTGTTACACAGTAAGCAGGTACAAGTTACCCTGAACAAGCCCTTGATTCTATGTATGTCTGGCGAATGGAGACTGCTTGCCATAATCCAGTAATGTAAGAATTACCCACAACCCATCTTCAGAGAAGTGCTCTGCAACAGGTTTTCCTTTTTTAACAAGTGTATGTACTTTTAGAAACTGTTTCTAACTTTCACAACTCTTACTGATTCTCTTAAACACCCCAACTCTATTGTTCAAATTATCAATGCCTTATAACAGTGTTATGCAGTTTCCAGGTGTATATATTGACAGCTGCTTAGAAATCTGATAAAGGTCTGTCAAGTTATATCGAAATCTCAAAAGCATCTATTATTTGTCCCATTTAACATGGACACAGAATTAAAATCTTGTATATCTGATTAATACCATGATAATGGTGTTCAGTTTGTTTATGTTGGTTGCCAACTACTGAACAAAATGTCTTCAGTTTGTAAACACATTTAATTTAATCACCATTGTTGTTCTGATTACTCTCTTTCTTCTGTGTGCAATGCTTAACTATGTATGGCCATGAAGAAATTATACGATTTTGAAGAATTTGTGGAGATTTCATTACTCTGATCTCTCACTTGCTTTTCCAAATGGAATTCCAGTGGATTAGAGTTCTAAGATGCTCAATCAATTTATCTACTAAGATTCAATTTGAATGAAGAAATTGGAGTGTCTGTTCTGTTGAGTACAGCCTAGAAAATGAAAAGAGCTTTTTGTCTTTTGAATGTAAATTTTCTGAGTGCAAGAACACTTGGTGCATTACTCCAGTCTGGAGTCAATGGGTGGCATTATCATGGAATCATTTTAACTGAAATCATTGAGTATTGATCTTGTAGATGCCACACCACATGGAAAAGAGCAAGAGAGACGATCCAAGCAAAATGCTATGCAATACTTCATTATATCATGAAACGTTATGAACTGTTACAAAATGGTTTTATATTAAGATCTTTGACTTAATTTTTTTTTACCATTTAGAAGTGGAGCTTGTGGCCATCATTGATAAAGTTATTTCAAAAAATAGCCAAGTAAATCCAGGTTTGAAGGTTGCACTCTTCCGAGGATAAAAATAGTTTTTATCATTTTTTAACTTTTTACATTTTTAATGTGTTTTGAAATGGCTTTTATAAAATTTTATGTTTAATCTGGGCTATAAACTGTCAATGTTTTTATTTAATAAACAGTCAATGAACACTTGTTTCAAAATTTCTTTCTTGGTCAAATACACAGTGAGGTTTCTTACCACTATTCTTATGAAAACTACAATGTTGCCAGTTTGCTAAATTTATTTTCCCTCTGAGCACCTGATGATTTGAGAACATCGAACAGAAATGATCTGGCCATCCTGCTTTTCCGCAGGTTACAATACAGCTGCCTTGTCATCTTTGTTTTAGGTTCATTGAATTACACAAAGCTCCATTATACTTGCAGATATATAATAGTTCTGTGAATTTGTATCAAACAGGGAGGATAGGTTAGTGATCCTCTGTGCTGGGAGAAGGGTGAGATTGTGGCCTTGGTATGTATTGTGAATTTTTTAGTCATAATGCATATAGTTCTAACTATATTTGCTACAATGACATGGCTGTTCCCAAACCAGAAGTGAAAACCTGAGTTTCTGGATTATATGTGTAACTACATATAAAACACTAGATTATACAGATATACCGTAACATGACTATTTCTTTCTTTTAATTTCTTCCACTACCTTGCATCCACACACAAGCGCACACAGACACAAACACACACACACCCCTTTTGAGGCTTGCAGTAATCTACTAACCTACAATAATAATGTTATCCTCTGATATTGAGATTATTGACCTTTTACTCCTAGGTTTTCTGTCTTGATTTGCCTCCTGTATTATTTAAATTCCCTCTTATTTCTTAGCATATTTTTTCTTTTGCCTTCCACCAAATTCACCAAAACTACCTACTATAACCAGTATTTATAAGCTATGGGCACCTCTTCCATCAAGCCTTCTTAAAACGTATTGAATTGTTTCTGAAGAAGGGTCGAGGCCTGAAGCGTCAGCTTTCCTGCTCCTCTGATGCTGTTTGGTCTGCTGAGTTCATCCAGCTCTACACCTTGTTATCTCTTATCCTTGAATTGTAGCTAAGTCTGCTAACACAAGCAGCTTCTGAAACTTAATCCATTGACCCGGGGAGACTTGGTCAGTTAGACTAGTTGGGCTGAAGGGTGTATTTCTGTGCTATTTAATTCGATGACTAGCCTAGGTGGCAAGTATTGCTGGTTATTTATCTTGCAACTGAGTTTGAGCCTGCCCTCGTGCAATATTCATTTAATTTATAATCCCATCAGATATGTACATAGTTTCCTTCCATTGGGTGACGATTTTTCCTTAAGCATCAGAGAATCACGCTTGATTTTTTTTTTTTCTCTTCCCCCACATACACACACAATTCTCTTTTGTCTGAGCAATCCTTATTTTCATTCTCTTCAGTCTATTTTCACCCATGGCAAAAAATCAATGAAATACTTGAGACTGTTGCCATGATGAGAGAAGATGAATTGATAGCATCTAATTGTCAGAAGTGAACTTCAAGCTGATTACATTATCTTTCTTTCTGTACTATTCTCAGTTGGAGTTTGATCTTGTACTTGTCCAATGGATAACTAGACAGTGAAATTACTTGTGCTTCATGTTATGTTTTCTTTTAATGGATAAAATCACCAATATGGTGGATTGAGGAGAAAATAATTTCTTGTTTGGAAATCTAAAGCAACTGAATTCAAATGCCAGCTATTTAAAGCCAAGTCAATAGACTTTAAAATCCCACATGCCTGGCCTCAACATTGTTTATGTCTTCACTTAGATGATTCTGTGAAAGTGTGAGACTCAGTAATTGCATCATTTAATAAAATCTGTATTGTTTTAGTCATTCATGAGATGTGGTGTTACTGGCCGAGCCAGCACTTATTGTTACATTGGGCCATTATTAGCCATACCAGGTATGCGTGGCAGTTTTTCCTAAGTGGGCAATAGTGAACCTGCTCGGTTTATATAACAATCAACAATGGTGACGTGGTTACCCTTAGGTTAGACATTTTTTATTCTAGATTTTTCTAAGTTTAAATTTCAGAATCTGCCATTATGTGATTCAAACACACATGCTCAGAACATTAATTTGAGCATCTGGATTATGAGTCTAATGATATTACATGATATTAATGTAATATCATTACATGATATTACTACCTTCCATCAATGTAGAGCTCGTATGTTTTTGTCTCCTCCTTCAAGAACTGAAAGTTCAACCTTTTTGATTATTTCCCCTTATTACAATAGTAAACACATTTCTGAAAGTACTTAATTCATTGTTAAATGTTTTGGGACACACTCTGCTTATGAAAGGTGCTATGTGAATACAGGTATTTCCACAACTAAAACATCAAAGCCTCCCCCAAGAGGGTGCAGCAAGCAGGTTTGAATAGTAACATGCAAAAGGAATTTGGATATACAATTGGGGAGAAGATCTGGGAGAGTGCCTGGGAGCAATTAGTAGTTCCTCCAAAAAGTTAGAACAGGTAAAATGGCCATGAACTACAAGATAACACGGTTCCAAAACATCAGTATCTAGCAAAGGAAATAATATCACTAAATTAACGTGTATAGGTTTCATGATTATGCTGACAATGTGCAGTTAACCTGGTTACAAATAGTAATCCGACACTTTGCAGATACCAGGGAGAGCTGGTGCTCCAGTTTAAATAAAACTGGTCTAAACGCACACAATGGTGAAATGGCAGAGGGGTATGCAGTGACTGTAAAATAATATCCAGTAGAATTTGATGTCACGAAGAGAGGGTAAGAGGAGAAAAGCAGCTTTGAAAATTTCATTTTAATACTTTCTTTCCTGTCTAACTCTGGAAAATCATTTAATGTTTTCTGGAGAATATTTCTCAAACATTATATAATGTATTTATGATTTCCTAAATTAGAAAAAAAAGGTTGGTACACTGCGGTATGATGTACTAGCTAAGTGCTCTTTCCAAAGGAGCTGTTTGAACCACAGCTTTTGCCAATGAATAATTCATATTCGAATCGTGGAATCCATTCTAAATGTGATAATCAGTAGCTTTTCAACCATCGTCAAACTATCCTATGTTCTCTTTAATTGTAACTTCCTCCCTATCCCTCAATGACTTGCGCTAGATTATTACTTATTTTTCCATATTTTATGGGTAAATATGGATTTTTAATTGCACTATTGTGACTTGTAAACGATCCTGTGCAATTGTGAAAATATTTAGTCTTATTCAGGTAAGATGTCCTGCAATAATGATGGATTTTTTAAAAATGAGTTATTTTTTAACAGACCTTGTTAACATTGGGAAAATATTAAGAGTAAGACTTATGATCAGCTATCGTGACGTTTTAAACCTGTTATTATGAGTAATTTCACGCCCAATGGTTGACTTTGCCAGGTCTATCAGCTATCATTTTTCTAAAAAATATTTTTCTGGACATTAAAAATGCTACAGTTAGCAAAAACATTTTGTGGTTTAGTGCCGAGAGACCTGGAAGCTCGATCGATACAGAAAGGGGAAAATAAGTTGGGTGGGAGTTTGGGGAAGGAGCTGGGAAGCGAAGAAGTAATCTAACTATTCTCCCCTGGTTTCTGAACCAGAAATGAAAGTCAGGGTTTTGATTCCGGCCGGATGAGATGAACGGCGGGACTAGCTGTCGGGAACGGTTGTGGGCGCAGCGGTTCCTCCGCCGGACAGGGTTGAAGACGGGACGGTGCGCAAGATGGCGGCGGCCAGGGCGCTGGGGGCCGTATTGGCCTCGGATGGCGAAGAAGCGGCCTGGAAGGATGAGGAGATGTGCGTAGTGGGGATATTCGGAAAGACGTCGGAGTTAAGCGCGCAGAAACACGCCATCATCAACACCTTGTGCGACAAGCCGGTCTTTCCCCTCTACCCGGGGCTGCCCGGCGGCCATCATCAGGGCAACAACTTACTGCAGTGCTACTACAACCAGGATAGCAAAGTCCTCTACCTGCTGCTCACCGCCGTCTGCGACCACCAGCAGCTGCTGCAAGCCTGCAGGGCCCTGGCCGACGATGTTTCCCACGCCGAGGCCCATGAGTTCTGGAAAGGCGAGGAGAAGCTCCACTGCATCCACCTGCTCTATCTCTTCTCGGTCTCCCACATTCTCCTTCTGGTCCACCCCACCTGCTCCTTCGACATCACTTACGATCGTCTTTTCAGAGCCTTGGATACCCTCAGGCAAAAAGTCCTTGGCTACCTGAAGAACGCGATTAAGGATTGCCCGGTGGGGAAGGAGTGGAGATTGAACTGTAGACCCTGCCCCCCGAGACTCCTGTTTATTTTCCAGCTCAACGGGGCGTTGAAGGTCGAGCCCAAGGGTCTCGACCCCTCAAACCTGGATAAGCCCAAGAAACATTCCCCAAAGAGGAGGCTCCAGCATGCCTTGGAGGATCAGATTTACAGAATTTTCAGGAAGAGCAGGGTTCTGACCAACCAGAGCATTAACTGTTTGTTCACTGTCCCTGCCAACCAGGCATTTGTTTACGTGCTGGCTGGGCAGGAGGACGACCCGATCAGTATGTTGATCGGGCAGCTCAAAAGCACTTGTGCCATCAGGGAGCAGGAGTCCCTCCCTTTGCCTGGATCTCGGCGCTATCAGATGATGAGGCATGTCCGCCAGCCATCCTTCATACTGGAAAGCAACCTCAACAGTTCCAGTGGGCAGCTGGTGGACTGCACCCTGAAAGAGTTCCTGTGGCAACACGTGGAGCTGGTTCTGACAAAAAAAGGATTTGAGGATAGTGTAGGGAGGAACCCACAGCCATCACACTTTGAACTTCCTGCCTATAAAAATTGGCTAACAGTGGCTTCAAAACTCTATGATGTTATGCTAAGTGGAAAGGATGAAGAACTTGGATTTCTTACTGGGGACCTTTCCTCCAAGATCCAAGGTCAGCTGAAAGGTCTTGACGGGTTCTTGGATGCAGATAATAAGTTTTCAGAAAATCGTTGCCAAAAGGCCCTACCTCTGGCTCACAGTGCCTACCAGTCAAATCTACCTCACCATTACACCACGACTGTCCACAAGAACCAGTTAGCACAGGCCCTACGTGTCTACAGTCAACATGCCCGTGGGCCAGCCTTCCAGAAGTATGCCATGCAGCTGCATGAAGACTGCTACAAGTTTTGGAGTAATGGGCACCAGTTGTGCGAAGAAAGAAGCTTAACGGATCAACACTGTGTTCACAAATTCCATCTACTGCCTAAACCGGGTAAGTCATAAATTAGAAGCTTTCATCTTGGTTGGAATAGGAAAGAGACTAAAGAATGGTAAATTATTAGTGAATTTCTCACAAATACAGACACCACGCACAATTGTAGCAAAGTGAGAGGGACAGGCATTACTTTGTAATGTTTATATCCACACTGATGTTTGAGATATACTGGCTTATTGTTTCAGCCAAAAGAAGTTTACATACAACAGGAAACTGAGTGTGGATTTGTATTGAAGTTGTAATTAGCAGCAGGTGCAGTAAGGACTTTATGGTCAAATGCCTATCACTGTGCCTTGAACCAGCTTTATATTGAGAGTTTAGGATTACGAATTGAAGTGAAGCAACCCTATGATTGCTATAGAGTGGCTTTGTAGTATAATTGAATGGTTAAGACTGTCTACGTTGATGAGAATCTTGATTTTCAATAGCACAGCAGCACAGAGAGTGTTCATGATGTACCACACCAATAAAATACTAAGACTGTTGATTGTGACGTATGAAACCCAATATTCTTTACAAAGGTTAATAAATCATTCAAATAATCTAAGAATCTAAAGTGCTTCATATAAGCTTTTGTTTGCAATTGAGTAGTGTCATCTTCTGGTATTAGATCAGCAGTGAATAAATTGTGAGGAATAAAATTGAATTCAGCAACTCTGATTATTTGTAGCTCATCCAGGAAAACAAATATAACATAAATGCAGCCATTTTCTCCTAAATGCTCACTGTTTCGTGAACATATTTCAAGGAAGGTAATTCTCCTCCTCCCTAACCCATTTCACCGAAAGTGACCCCAATCTCTCAGTTGTGGTTAGAACTTAAAACCATCTAACTGACCTGGTATGCTGGTATATTTGGAGTCGGCATAATTGCAGGTTTTGTACCATTCAGTAGAAAAATGTAGTGCTAACATGGAATATTTAAGCAGTTAAAAATAGTTTTCCATATGTTGTTAATATTTACATGGTGCTAGGAGTCAGTCGAGTCATGTTTGCATTGTTATTAACATTAATTATAGAGTAGAAAGTGTTGATATCTCATCATCCATACATGGGAGACCAATTTCCAGATTCGTGGAAGTCTTGCAAAACTCCGGTTGACTGGGAGGGCACAAGCTGACGGCTCATCTAGTAATTAAGTCTGAACTACAGAAGACTGAGCATAGGGACTGACCAGTAGAAGTTGAAGACAAAAGACCAGTACAGGAATAAGAAGAAGCACCAGAGCTGTGTGAAATTGGCAGCAAAAGTAAGACCTTTAGAGAGGTTGAGACCCAGGAGATCACCCATCCCACAATGGGGAAGTCCCAGAAACATTTGCTTCCTTTACACCAGGTATTTCTTGCAATTTTTTATGATCTTTGAGGGATGTGGGAGGGCATAACTGAAGTAAAATGTTATAGTGCAAACACAGAGACAATGCAGTAATTCCCTGCATAAGTGAATCAGTAACTTAGTCAGTGAGAGATGATGTGTAAGAACCATGTGTGTTTCCTTGAGGACAAGTTGGATAGCCACTCTGACTCCACCTCATCATCAATTGGCAGGTTGCAGAATATCACTGGCAATTGTACAGTATTTGTAAACTGCTTGCCCAATTTGAAAAAGCAAAATATTGTGGATCCGAATGAAAATTTTTAGGTACACTCACCAAGGAAGGCACCATCTGTGGAGAGTGAAACAGAGTTAACATTTAGATTGATGAGCTTTCACTAGAACACTGGTGATTCTGTACCAGAAATTTGTTCTTATTCCCTCCCTTTCCCAGACTTTTGCCCTTGTTGGCGAGAGACCAGGAAAAGTCCTCTCATTGCCCAAGGGCCAATAATGTACCAACAATACAGCCTGGCTGTCTAATGTACATTGTCTTGGGTAATATTTCTTCTGAATGAAGCTTTGAATCAAAACATCAAGGTGAGCATTAACAACAACTTGCATTTATATATCACCTTTAACATTGTTAAAAGATCCCAAGGTGCCTCACAGGAGTGATTATCAATCAAAATCAGGGATCTGTTTAAAGAAATACGTGCTTAGTCCAGTCCTGCCTAAATCGTTTACTCAAACAGTAATACCACAAAAATATTGCCAGACATTCATTTCCTAGAATTTTAGAAAAGTGGCACAGAAGGAACTGATTCAGCCCATCGTGCTTTTCCATTTCTTTGATCAGATTATTCAACTAATTACAATAATACAAACATACAAATTAGGATCAGGAGTAGGCTTCAAGCTTTCTGATATTTGATTTTAAAAAACAGTTTAAATTTGGAGTTGCAAATTCAATTTAAAGAACTGTGGATGCTGGAATTGTAATAAAATCAGAAATTGCTTGAAAAACTCTTCAGGTCTGTGAAGAGAAAGCAAAGCTAACATTTCGGGTCCTTTTTCAGAAATTCTCCCTCCCCCCACCCCTTTTCTAGCATAGATACCAACCTTTTCTTAGCTACAATCAGATCTGAAAAAAGGTCACTGGACCTGAAATGTTAACTCTATTTTCTGTCCACACTCATAGTCATAGAGTAGTACAGTGTGGAAACAGGCCCTTCGGCCCAAATTGATCCATGCTCACCATGGTGCCCACTCGGCTAGTTCCAATTACCCGCATTTGGTCCATATCCCTCTAAAACAGTCTCATCCATGTACCTATCCAAATAATTTTTTAAATGTTGCTGTTGTACCTGCCTCAACCACTTTCTCCACCAGCCCATTCCATACACGCACCACCCTCTGCATGAAGAAGTTGCCCCTCAGGTTCTTCTTAAATCTTTCCCCTCTCACCTTAAACCTATGTCCTCTAGTTTTCAATTCCCCATCCCTAAGAAAAAGACTATATGCAATCATCCTATCTATGCCCCTCATGATTTTATACACCTCAGTAAGGTCACCCCTCATTCTCTACGTTCCAAGGAATAAAGTCCTATCCTGGCCAACCTCTCCCTATAACTTATGCCTACTAGTCCTGGCCACATACTTGTAAATCATCTTTGCACTCTTTCCAGTTTAACTATGTCTTTCCTATAACAGGGAAACATGCTGCCAGGCTGCTGAGTTTTTCCAGTGATTTCTGATATTTGATAAGATCATCACTGATTTATCATTGACTTCAACTCCACTCTCCTCCCCGTATTTTTAAATTCTTGACTAACGAGAGTCAGTCTACCTTTGTCTTAAAAATACTCAATGATCCCACCTTCACCTTTCTCTGGGGAAGAGTTTCGTAGACCCACGACCCTCTAAGAGAGCAAAATTCTCTTCATCTCAAACTGAATTGGGAGACCCTTATTTTGAAGCTCTGTCTTCTAGTTCTAACCTCTCCCACAAAGGAAAACATCCATTCAGCATCCATCCTGTCAAGTCCCCTCATCTTATGTTTCAGTAAGATCACCTGTCATGGTCCAGAACTTTAATCGGTACAGGCTCAATCTATCTAACCTTTCCTCATAAGATAACCCCAGGAGCTAGTCAATTGAAACATGTTTGAAATGTTTTGAATGCTGTTCAAAGCCGAACACAGTATCCAAATGTAGTCTCACCATGCCATGTGCAACTGTAGCAAAACATCCCTACTTTTATATTCCATTCTTTTCACAATAAATGACAACAATCAATTTGTCTTCCTAATCACTGTGTTGTACATGCATATCAGGCCTTGATACCTCAGAATTCTGAAATCTCCCTCCATTTCAATAATATGCTGCTTTTCTGTTCTTCCTGCCAAGGTGTCCTGTAACCATTGATGTCCTTTAGAGAATGACATCTATGTTTACCTAGTTCCACATGTGATTCCATACCCAAAGCAATGTGATTGACTCTTAATTGCCCTCTGAGAAACTAAGGATGGGCAATAAAAATGATGCCTAGTCAGTGATGCCCACATTCTGTGAATAAATAAAAAGAATTGCCTAATCTGCTGAATTTTCGCCCACTCAATTATTCTATTTACATCCCTTTGCAGATGGCTTATGTTATCTTTATAATACAAAGACAGGTAGAAATATAAGCCATCAGCAAATGTAGCAACCATATATTTGGTCCCTGCATCTATGTCATTAGAGTTTGTAAATAGTTGAGGCTTCATCCTCATCCCTTATCTTGTGGCACACTGCTCATTATAGCTTGTCAACCTTGTGCAATGTATCCCTATTCTGTATTCTCTGTTAGCTAACCAATCCTCTATCCGTTCTCTAATTTATAACGCTGCAATTTATTTTCCTTGAGTATTCATCCAATTCCCTTAAACACTATTGAATCTGCTTCTGCTGTGTTTTCATGCAGCACATTTCAGATCACAGCAACTCTGTTTAAAGAAAAATATTTCCTCAATATCCCTCCAGTTCTTTAGCCAATTGCCAGCAAAGTCCAGTTACTGACCCTGTTACTACTGAAACAGTTTCTCCTCGTTTATTCTATCAACCCTTCAAGATGTTGAATACCTCCATAGAATCTTCCCTTAACTATCTCTGCTGTAAGAACAACTTCAGTTTGTATAGTGTATCCTCATAACTGAAGTTCCTCACTCCCAGTTAGAGCAATGCCTTGCTGCATGGATATTACTGACTCTGCGTGGAATTTACATTTGCCTACATTATATTGCTGCCCTTTATAAGTAGTTAATTGTCTTATTGAAACTTTCTTTTTGAGACATTTTGATTTTAGAGTGGAATGTAAGTACAAGTAAAACATCATCATTAACTAAGCCTGTGTTGCATGCCCCTTTCACCCTTATTGAGGATGAATTGAAATGTTATAATAAAAGGCATATTGAATTATTCTTGAATACACTTTGTTTTGTGTGTGTCTGTCTGTGTGTATGTGTTTGTGTGTCTGTGTGTGTCTATGTGTTTGCCTCTCTCTCTTGCAGGAGAAAAACCAGAGCCTGACAGGAACCCACCCGTGCTGTATCACAACAGCCGTGCTCGCTCCACCAGCTCCTGCAACTGTGGCCGCAGGCAAGCCCCTCGAGATGATCCCTTCGACATCAAGTCAGGCAATTACGATTTCTATCAGGTATGGTAGGCATATCTATCTCCCCGTAGCTGTAGACCAATATATGGACGAGGAGGCATATATTTTTTGAGATACTGTGTCCATTCAATTTCTGTCTCAATCACTTAGTTCCTATGGTACACAGTGAAGAAAGTGAGGAGAGCATCTTCTGGCTGGTCTTTTGAGCCTGGCGACATGCTTCGTATTCTGTAGAATAAGTACAGAAATAAAAGAGAGACTTAGATTTATGCGAAGCTTTCATGACCCAAGGATATCCCAAAATGTTTTAGAGCAAACAGTGATGTGTAGTGACTGTTCTAATGTAGGAAGCACAGAAGCCTCATTTTTTTGTATTGCTTCATGCACAGCAAGGTGCCAGAAATGGCATCAAATTCATGACCAGGTAATCTGTTTTCTAATGGTGTTGGTTGAGGGATGAATATTGCCAAGATTGCTTTTTCATTCACTTGAGGGCGCAGGTTGGGCCTGCTGAAAGATTCCACCACTGACAGTGCAATATCCACTCGGGACTTGCACTGAGCTATCAGCCTGGAGTATGTACTCTGGTTCTGGAGTGCATGATGAACCCACACCCTTCTGATTCAAACAACTGAGTCAACAACCATTGAACCAAGGATAACATCTCAATCCTGGCTGACATTTGAGTGCAGTACTGAGAGTGCTGCATTGTCCAACTGCTAGTCTTCAGTGAATATCTTATAGCAAGGCACCTTCTGCTTCTTGAGGGACGTGGGTGAATGTTAAAGATCTCAAAGCATGCTTCGAAGAAGAGCAAATGTCCTTGGCCATCCTTTATCTCTCAAAAATACAAAAATTGAAACAGGTCAGCTACTGAGATGACGTTTAGCCTGACTGAAAAACCCCTGAGCTAATGGCATAATGTCAGGATAGGAGTCTAGCCATTTTGGAGGAGATAATAAGTTTCTTACTGTGAATCTTTGTATTTCCTACCCTAGAGAACAGTGGATGATGAAATAAACACAGCGAATGCTGGAGAAGCACAGCAGGTCTGCAGTATCCAGAGAGAAACAGAAACTGAGTTAACATTTCAAATCCAGTATAACTCTTCTTCAGTTCTAAAATGTTAACTCTTTCTCTCTTCGCAGATGTCGCCAGACTTGCTGAGTTTCTCCAGCATCCTCTGTGTCAGTGCAAGATTCCCAGTGTCCATATCAGTCTTAAAAACAAAATGTTGGAGAAATTTAGAAGGTCTGGCAGCATCTGTGGAGAGTGAAACACAGTTAACATTTCAAGTCTAATGAGTATTCATCAGAACTGAAAGAGAGTTCTAAGGTTTTGGAGTAGATCTGTAGCTCGGGTTGTGGGTGTTGAGGTTGGTTGGCTCGCCGAGCTGGTTGGTTTGAAAGAGAGTTGGAAATGTGATCGATGGATTTCACGCTTTTGAGAAAGGGAGCAGGGCAAATGGAACAAAACAGAGATCAGGAAAAGATTAAAGATCAAAGGTGACATGGAACAACAGGCAAAGGGAGTGGTAATGTTTCTAAAGAAGAAATAAAGTCTTGGTCCAGCACATAAGTGAATCCCAGGTTAATACCAGCCACCTAAATACAATTAATATACAATAAATATTGGGGATCAAGTGAGAAAGAAAGTTGATGTCAACGACCACCTTTGAGGACCCATATGGCTTAGTCTTGCTTTTACTTCTCTTGTTCTTAATCAGCAACATCCCATTATTGTGTGTTAATATGCAATGGTGTTGCATTTATTCACATAAGAACAGTAATTTGCACAACATGACTATCTTGTGATGAAACACTTTGCAAAGAGATAAAGTCAGGTGTTTCATAAATGCAAAATTTTTGCCTGAAAATGTGTGATCTAGAAGTTTATGAAGAACTTTTAACTATAGAGGGATATTTGTGTCCAAATACTTTCTGGCAAGAAGATAATTCTTCAAAACCTCTCTTAAATCCTCTTTCCCTCCCTTTTGCAAACAGTTCCTCAAGCTCCTCTTAATTATCATTTAATTCCCCTGACACCTTTCTGGTGAATCTAGAATAGTAATGTTATAAAATAATATCAACAAACTTTGACAGAGATATTAGGAAAGGCGACCAAAACATTTTTAAGGAGTGTCTTGAAAGAAGAGAGAGGTGGGGAGGTTTCAGGAAGAATTCCACGTTCAATGTCTAGTCAACTGATGACATTGTTGTCAGTGAAATTTGGAGATATGCAATAGGCCAGAATTGTTGGAGAAAAGCTGCTTCCGGGCGATGTAAAGCTAGAGGTGGTCACAGAAATATGAAGGGAGGAGGGCATAGAGAGATTGGGAAACAAAATGAGAATTTTGAAGTTGAGTTATTATCAGCATAGGAACCAGTATAGATCAACAATAGAGGAGTGATGTGTGAACAAGATGTGGCGAGAATTAGGATGCAGGCAACAGAGATTTGAATGAAAGCAGAATGTATTTGAATGCTAAATGTGGGAAAATTGTAAACCAAGTCATCTAATTTGTTGTAAAATGCCTTTGCAGCTTCAAGAGGAGAAATGCTGCGGGAAACTCGAGCACTTCTATTTTCCTGTCTTCCAACCCAGCACTCCCGACCCAGCTCCAGCCAAAAACGAATCAACTGTATCATCACTGCCCCCGCAAGAAGGTGAAGGGGAGAAAATGAAAGAAAAAGAGGCTCAGACCCAAGGAGAGAGCACTAGTCTCAGTCTGGCACTCAGTCTTGGACAATCCACAGACAGTCTGGGTACATTTCCCCCTGATCCCCATGCAGGGGGAGACAATCCTGATGCGCATGGCCAGGGAGGGGAGGCTAAAGTAGAAAAGAGACCCAGTCTTGTGGATCGACAGGTATCAACAGTGGAATATCTGCCTGGCATGTTAAATTCCAGCTGTCCAAAGGGACTTTTACCTAAATTTTCAAGTTGGTCCTTCGTCAAGCTGGGCCCTTCCAAAGCTTACAACTTCCACAGGGGCCTGGACCAGAGTGGCTTCATTCCTGGAACGAATTACCTGATGCCTTGGGACATAGTCATCAAAACCAGGTCAGAGGATGAAGTGGACATGGACAGTAATTCCTGGCCTGCTCCCAACAAATCTGTACCAACCAAACGGGCTACCAACGTGATTGGCCGAGGCAGGCGGAGGGATGACATCGCGCGGGCGTTTGTTGGCTTTGAATATGAGGATTCACGGGGTCGCAGGTTCATGTGCTCGGGGCCAGAAAAGATTATGAAGGTAATGGGGAGTGGGCCAAAAGAGTCTGCCATCAAAGCCCTCTCCTCTGACATGCCCCTGTACATCCTGTCTCCATCTCAAGGCCGAGGTCTTAAGCCGCACTACGCCCAGCTCACAAGGCTGTTTATTGTGGCTCCTGATGCCCCGTTACAGATTGTACTCACGCCACAGGTAAGATTCTAGCTACAGAAGTGTTTATCTGTGCCCTGTAGGCTTGTCAAGTTAGAAATCTATCTGAAATCCAAGGGGTAATAACAAAAGAGGAATTTGAAAGTGGAAATTCAATTGACGGCTTTGAGATAAGCTCGTGAGTCATAAAAATGGGACTTGTATACAACCTCTACCTTGAGGCCTGGGACTAGATCAGTTTAAATAATTGCTTTTTGTTTCTTGTGATAGTGAATATAATAAAATGTAGGTATTGTCATCATTAAGTTGCCAGAGTTAAAAAAGCATCATGTTGTGTGAAATGTGTGAAATTAACATATTGAATCTGCCCATCCAAACCCGCAGTTTGTCTGAAGAGAGGAGTTTGAGTGACATACCAATGACACACTAAAGTAGCTGTGATAACATGTCTGCAAAAGTAATAATGGGCAGCTTGCCACCTTAATGGTAATCTGGGGTGAGTATCAAATGTGGGCCTAGACAATGACACCCTCATCCCGTGATTGAGTGAATAAAAAGTTGACTTCGGTGTCATCATTTATGGTTCTCTTAAACTGCCCACACTCAGCTGATGGAGATAGAATTGGTAGAGAAACTGCAGAGTCACCTAGTGACCAGATCCTACGATTAAATTGTGACAGTTGACCTGGCACAATTGAATGGAAATGTTAACTAAGTAATTTGCAATGTAAATGTTGGCACAAAAGTGTAGGCAAAAATATATGATAACAGGTTAACTAAGACTTTTGATAGCATGATGTGACAACCTTTGACCCAGAAACAGTATTGTAAAGAAAATTTGTAATTTCTTAAAAAGGCCTTTGAAATCTTTAATTATTTTAAGATATTTGAAAGGACTTTTAGGGGATGGCATCAACTGTAATTTTCATGAATATTAAAAAATTACTCATCTGTGTGATCTGGTCACCCTTGTAGAAAGTAAAACTGAAAGCTGTGTGGCCAAGACAGAAGAGGGCTGCAACAGACAGAAGAACAGTGAAATATTTACAAGGAGGTGTGTGTGTGTGTGTGTGTGTGTGTGTGTGTGTGTGAAATATAGTTAAAGAAGTCAGGTAACTTAAGACAGGGTTAGAGCAGGGATTGTGAAATGGACCATTTGATTGCACTTAGATTTACCAAAGCAAAACAAATTGTTTAATGGGGTTTGTTAAACGGTCAAAGTGAAGGAGTCTTTGGGGAATCTGTGCTATTTAGACTTCTGTGAACCTAGCTAAGGTGCCACATGCCTGCAGACAATGATGCAGCATACAAATCGGGAACAGGCCATCCAACTCCTCAAGCCTGTTCCACCATTCGAGAAGATTATGGCTGATTTGATCGTTACATCAAATGTATAGTCCTACTCACATCTTAATAACCTTTCAATCCGTAGCTTAACAAGAAACTATCTATCTCTGCCCTAAAAATATTCAAGGACTCCACTTCCACCTCTTTTTCAAGAAGAGAGTCCCAAAAACGCACGACTGTCTAAAAGAAAAGTTTGTCACCCAATCTCTGTTTTAAATGGGTGATACCTGATTTTTAAACAGTGACAATCACCCCCTCTCCCCAACTCACTTATAGATTCTTCCATAAGAGGAAACATTCTCTCCTCATCTGCCCTGTCAAGGTCCATCAGGATTTTATGTTTCACTCAATTCACCCCTTACTCCCCTAAACAGCATCAGATACAAGCCAGTCTGTACAACTTTTTCCCCCTAAGACAACCCACCCATTCCAGATATTAGTTGGGTAAACTTTCTCTGAACTCCCTCCAATATCCTCCTTAAATAAGTTGACTGACAATGTGCACAGTTATCTGGATTTGTCTCACTAGTGTTCTGTTTAATTCCTTAACTTTCATACTCAGTTTCCCTCATGATTAATGATAACATTCTGTTAACTATTCTAAATACTTGCTGAATCTACATACTAACGTGAGATAGTAGGAACTGCAGATGCTGGAGAATCCGAGACAACAAGGTGCAGAGCTGGATGAACACAGCAGGCCAAGCAGCATCATAGGAGCAGGAAGGCTG